CCACTGACCGTGAGGCCCTCTCGGCCACAGTCCTTTGCCCTCCCCTTGGAGGCCACTGACTGGGAGGCCCACCGAGGCAGTGAGGCCTGGGCCTCTAGCTCGTTCTGGGGAGCTGGCTCTGGCGAACGCAACCAGCGAGAGCCTTCCCGGTGCTTTCCTCATCTGCCAAATCCATCATTTCATTTTTCTCGAAAGGAAGCACCAAAATGCATTTCAAAGTCAAAACTACACATTAGCAGCAGTGTGGGGTACAGGCATTTTTCAAGGTCTTTGGAGGACACGGAGAAAGCAGAGCGCATCCGTTTGTCTGTCAGCATTCCGCTCTGACGGAATGGCAGGGAAGGCTGTGAGGTGGTACTCATCACCCCCGGAGCCACCAGGCTCCAGAAGAGTTCCTGTCATTCCGATTTCTCCCGGTGAGTCACTGGGTCTCCTGCCCCCAGAGGCACTCAATTATGATTCAGTGCGAAGTGAGTGTCGGGGTGGGGGCTGCAGAGCCCCTCGCTGGCTTGAGGCTTAATTGACACCTTGGATGTAGCCTAAGACAGAACCCGCACCTCCCACTGCTGCTGGGAGGACGTCAGCCTTACGCAGAAGAGGCATCTGCTGTGTCTCAGCCAGCCTGCTGGGGAGCAGCCTCGGCAGCCTGAGCCACCCCTAACTAATCCAGCGCTTCCTTCCGCCGGCTCAGCGCTGAGGAGGGAGCCCGCCTCGCTAGTGCCAGCTCAGACACTTAAGTCAGTGTCCATGCTAGAACTCAGAGAAGGTAAGTTCCCTGCCTGACCGCCGTCCCTCATGGAGCTGTCTGCTCTGCACCCCCAGAATGTCTGTGGCTCCGTGCTAATTCCTCGTTGACTGGGACGATCGTTTTCATGGGGAGAATAGAAGTCGCCTTAGGTATCTGATGAAACCATGCCTCTAAGTGCTTCTCTGTGTTCTCAGAGGGGACGTCCGTCAGAGAAAAATCACTGCTTCCCGGAGTTGCGTGGCTTTGATTTGGCTTAGGGATGATGTTGTATGAAAGTCTCGAGAATCAGGTCGCATCCCACTGATGCAGACCTGTTGGAAAGCAGTGTCTGACTTCAGCCTCAGCAGACAAAGTGTGAGAGTTTGGGGTGTCCGTGGTCAGTGCCTCTGTTCTATTCAAAGCAGGTTTGTCAGAGCCAGGCTGGGGCATGACGGGGTGCAGGGGGTGCATGGGGTGCAGGGCTTCTAGACAGGGGTCGTTAATGCTAAAATTCAGAGACCTCTTAACAAGCCCTGGAAAAGCACGTGTGAGCTCTGCGGATATTTATTCCTCCTGGGAAGCAAAACGACAGCATTACAGATGAATTCCACTGAAAATGTCTCGGGGCCTTTACCACATTCCGAAAATCATCAATTAATTCATCAGGGAAGTTAAAAAAAGCACATCTTTCTGATTATTATGTAACCTGCTGCCCCCTTCAGCACCAGTTTAACAGAACACTGTATTTCTGAAGAAAGGCAATCCCCTGAGGCTGTTCTCATGACCACATATATTAAGGTATCTGGAGTTTTAGCAGAGACTCTGCATTATTGTTTCTCTCTCTGAAAAGGTGGTTTGTCCTGAAAATTCCTTAACATGCCGTTTTTCTCTCTCTTTCTTTGTACTTCCAGTTAATGGAACCCCTGGTAGTCAGCTTTCCACTCCGCGCTCCGGAAAGTCTCCAAGCCCATCACCAACCAGCCCAGGAAGCCTCCGGAAGCAGAGGGTAAGGAAATAAGCAGGCTGTTGAAGGTCTGTGAGCCGCCTGTGCGGAATGGCACAGGTGTCCTCCTGCGTCTTGTGGTGACAGGCTAGGGCAGAGGTGACCAGCGGCGGGTCCTTTATTATTGCTGGGGTTTCTCCTAGCTAGAACTCAAGGGCTTTCATTTCTCCATAAACTCCTCCCAGTCTTAACTCTGAGAAGAACATACACATGACGCTTCTCTCTGAAGTCCCTCCCCTCTCTTTGCTCTGAATGCCTGAAGGACTTCAGGGCACCAGTTAGTAAGCTTCCTTTATTACCATGGGCTGGATTAGATGTGCTCATTGCCCATCAGCCCCTTAAGGAAAAGGAGAAGTGTCATTGTTGGAGGGGAGGGCCGTGGTGGACAGTTGTTTCGGGACACGGAACGGTTGTCCAGGGGGCTTAGGGTCGGAGCATCAGGGGACGGGTTCCTAGGACACGTTCGTTTGTGAGTGAAACCCACAGTGAGCACCTCCCCTTCCTCACTCCCTGCAGGCGTTCTTAGCCTCTTGTATAATACGAGTGGGAAGTGGCTGGGCCTTGAGACCCAAGGGAAGAAGTTACTGGAAGCAGTGCAGGTTCTTCACGCCAGGGGGGGTGATGGTTAGCCGTTCTCTCAGGCTTCAAGACCTCACCCCTGTACCGTTTGTCTTTTCCAGTAAGACCAACTGAGGCAAGGACAGAAAGAGTGGGAGAGGGAGGCGGGGGAGGTATCGGTGTGGAAGGAGGACGTGGGGCTCACTGGACATTGTAATTCACGAGGGCTCCTCAGAGGCTCCTGGATTCCCACACTGCATATTCCGTTTGGGTCCTTTCATGATGCGTTTTGAAATGAAACTTCTGAGTTCCATAAATTTAAGCTGTACCCAAGACAGACGGAAACCCTTCTCTTCATGCCCCATGCCAAAGTTCTGTCTGCAGTCTGCCAGAACTGTCTTCCAGCTGAAAGTGGGGGCCAGGGGGCTCAGCCCGTCCCCACTCTCCACCTCCCTGTCCCTTTGGAACCTGTTGCACCAAATATCAGATTTGATTCTCTTTTCTCCGCTGATTCACCTGGCGGCAGCTTTAGCTTTTTTAGATTTGATGAGGCCTGGGATTTGGCAGGAGCTCTGCCACTAAGTGGCTGTGTTATCTTATATAAATCTCTTACCCACTCTGGGTTGCAGCGGAACAAAAAAAAAGAGAAAGAGAGAAGAGGACTCTTTCCAGCTAGAAAATGCACGAATTCTATTTCTGTTCGCTCTGAGTGTTTTCATTACTTTCTGGGCCCCGGCCTAGTTTGGCATTGTAAAAGTACTGGGATCATTAGTGAATTTGTTTAATTTTCTAAAGATCTGTCTTGAGTGGAGGAGGGGCTAGTGCAGCCCCTCTTGTCTCATGAACATCACCCAGCTGTGTCCCTACCTCCAGGGCCAGTCAGTGGATTGGCATAGGAAGACCCTTTTCCATGGAACATTCTCTCTCTCGAAAGGTATTTTTTGGTGAGTTTTTTGTTCGTTGTCAAGTCGATTCCAATTCACAGCCACCCTGTGATTCCGATTCACAGCAACCCTGTGTGACAGAATAGAACTGCCCCATCAGGTTTTTAGGCTGTAATCTTTATGGAAGCAGATCCCCAGGTCTTTCTCCTGTGGAGTCACTGAGTAGGTTCAAACACCATCAGCCTTTTGGTTACCAGCCAAGTGCTTAACCGTTGCGCCACCAGGGTGCCTCTTTGGAGAGTAGACCTAGCCTATAAATTTCTCTTCATTCTCTGAGTTAATTAAACTCAGACTCGGAATTTATGGATGTAGTTCATGCTTCGTTGCTGAGATTTAAAAGAGTGGCTAGGAGTCCTGCTGCAGACGTGAGCTTCTCTGCCTGCTTGCTCATTGTGGAGATCCACGCCTTGGTGACGGAGAGCTCAGCTGTCCCGTGGTTGACAGTGAAGCTAGAATTGTCTTCTTCTGCCCTCTGACTTCTCTGCTTCACTATGCTTTTGTCCAACTGAGGCAGAAGATTTTCGCCCAGCTCCTAGCAGCTGTGGAACCTTTTATGTCATTAGAATTTCCCCTTTTAGAATCCTCATGTTGCCTTTTAAATTACCAACGCAAGCAGTGTACTTGGGAGGAAAGAACAGGAAAACCAACTCCTATTTGTTTTAGTGGGGCAAAGGGTTTATCATCAGCTGAAAACATTATTAAGCACACGTCGTGAGCAGGGCCCTCGACGTAGCCAAAGGTGGTTGAGTTCCCAAGCGTTTGAATTTGGGCCCTAAAGGAACATTCTGCATCCAGGTAGCATGCCTGTGCGTGGAGACACTCACAGCTGCTTCAGCTTTGGGTGCTTTTTCTGATCCCAAGAGAGGAGCCTTCGTCTTGGTGTGTAGGCGACTGTACCGAATCACCCCTCCCCACGAAAATGGACCTAGAATATCCCTGAAAATGGATTCTGTTCACATGTGGCCCGTGTTCTCAGCTGGCAGGCCACCCGTCCCTGCAGGAAATACTGAAATAAGTGAACGGCGGCGTGTGCTAAAAGAAGACGCTTCAGAGAATAAATTAACTCTTTTTTATTGCAGATTGGAAAACAGTAGCTACTTGGGTTTCTCCGTCTGTGTTGCTTAGCTATGTGGCCAGGAAAATGAGTTGGCTCTCCCCACCCCCGTTTTAAAACATGGGAGCATAAGCTGTTTTTCAAAGGATATTGAGACCTGCTGGCTTTCTTCACAAATAAGAAAACATGTCTTTGAATTCATGTGCATTATGAGGATTTAATCAGCTTCTTTTGCTTTTCTTCCTTTAATATCCTATTTTAATGTTTCCTCTCGACATTTTTCGGATGGCCTTATACAATAATAGTCTGTCTGCCAGATACTTTTCTTCATAAAAATATTTGGGGCAATGTGCCAAGTAACCTCCCTATTCTTCTAAAATGCTGTTGTTTAAAATTGCTAGCTGAACCACTTGGCTGGTACAGAAGCGGATCTTTCTTCCACCCGTGAACTTCCCTGGGTCCCGTGTGTTAATGCGTCAGGGACGTGTGTTGCGTTGTGTAGGTTGGAGTCACCCTGCCACTCCCACAGCCTGGCTTTGGTGGATTATCTGATCAGTTAGATGATGGGAAGGGTAGGTGGGTGGCTCCAGACACTCTCCTAAAGATTTGATCGGGTTGCCTGGCTACCAGCAGAAAGAGCTAGCAGCACAGGGCAGGAGGGAAGGAGAGGGAGGTGATGGGTGGATGGCTGGGAGACCGGGAAGAGTGTGGGGAAGAGAGAGGGTTGCACCTCTTGCATTCATTGTCTTCCAAACAAAATTTTGAAGAGGCGATGTTTATTGGGTTGAGGCCATGTGCGAACGAAACACTGGAGTTGCTGCTGTGGGGCCAGCATTTGCTGTGAATGCCAGCGGGGGCTCCTGATAAGTTATGTTTGAGGTAAGCGTTCCTCTCTACCCAGAACGGGATGCCAGTGTCCAAGGAAGACTGGTCTAGACTCGTAGCGGCAGGTGGGCAGTGACAGGCCTTGGGCTGCAAAACTCCACGCAAAGGAAGGGAACAGCTCATGAGTGCCCTTGCTGACAGGCAAAATAAGGGCCATTTTGGTGGCGCAGTGGTTAAGTGCTCGGCTGCCAACCTAGAGGTCGGCAGTTTGAACCCACCAGCCACTGCTCGGGAGGAAGACCTGGCAGTCTGCTCCCGTAAAGATTACAGCCTAGGAAACCCTATGGGGCTGTTCTTCGCTGTGCTGTAGGGTGGCTATGCGTTGGAATCGACTCAACGGCAGTGGGTTTCTGGTTTTCTAGAAGGTTTCTCAAAGATTATCTTTCCCTTTATCCGCACTTGTGACTCTGAAAGGCCTGACGATGTCAGAAGTCAAGGGTGCTTCCCAGGGCTGTCTTAGAGTGACAGGCCACCCACAGATCCGAGTAAGCAAATCTGCTCACCTTCATCTTACAGGACCTGTGTCGTCCCCTCTCTTCGGATGATTTGGATTCAGTAGGAGACTCAATGTAAAAGAATCAATGGAACAATGTGTCTGGTTTGTGACTGGGTGAAGGTTTCCCGTTTCCTAAGCAAAAATCTAACAGGAGCGCACACAAAAGAGTTTTGCATACCTTGAAATTACAAAGCCCAAATCATATATATACATTCGTATACAGGCATTTTATACTTACGGTTTTCGCCCTGGAAGGAGAGTTTTTTTTATCTCTTATGTTGATTTCATTGGGGTTGTTTGAACACAGACTCACTCGTGAGGTGAAGTTTTTGTGAGGCCTGGCTCCAGATAAATTTCATATATGGACCCAATAGTAACTACAAGAACACGCTGGAGACTTAGCAATATAGAGTCACAGTTCCTGTAGATGAGATTTTCTTCTTACTCATAACTACACATGTAGATACAATCTTTCTGCACTTTCTGTAAAGCAAATTAATATGGCACTAGCAGGCATATCAAGGAGCCCTGATGTCACAACGGTTAAGCGCTCGGCTGCTAAACTAAAGATTGGCGGTTCAAACCCACCCAGTGGCTCCTTGGGAGAAAGACCTGGCGATCTGCTCCTGTAGAGATTACAGCCTAGAAAACCCTATGGGGCAGTTCTGCTCTGTCACATGGGGTCGCCATGAGTCGAAATCAACTTGACAGCACACAGCAACAATAGCAGACATATTTTTTAAAGCTATATTCTTTTAAATTTTGGATTGCTAATTTTCTAAAGGTGTTTGTAATTGCAAAATAATAAAAATTCTTCAATTAGACTTTTTTTCTCCTTGGAACAATAGATGAAGCTGCTGGTCGTTCTGTGGCTTAATATATCTGAGGGGAAAAAATCATGTCAAAGCTATGTCTCATGGAGACTCTAACATTAGGCACTAGGAATTTGCCTTGTTTTTGTTGACAAGTATATTTTCCTTTTTTAATTATATTTTACTGGAAACAACATAACAATAACTTCAGCTATATGCGGACATGAAGAACTTGTTCAACCGCATTGCTGCAA